CAAAAGGAGTAGAGGTTTATCCCTTGTTTCCTGTTTAGGATTGGGTTTCCCGTTCCTTCTAAAGTTTTCTTGTTCTCCTTCCTTCACAGTAGTATCTTGCGTTTTAGTAGCATTATCGCCTTCCTTGGGTGAATTGATTAAAAAAAGTGTAAGTAAAATTATGTTTTGAGTTTTTTAATGCTCATCCAATAAAAGGTTCAAGAACCACTCAAGGTAAAGTTTTAATTGAATGAGATATGTGATATGAATGTAAGAGGAGGTAGAAGGAAGTGAATGTTATGAGGATAGGTAGGATAGATAAAAATTGACCCTTGACTTGAAGAGGTTAAGAGTGTAGTGTTCCGGGAAGCATCCACGTAGAAACCCGTTCTACAATGTAGCAGTTCTTGAGAAAAAATCCTTCGTCATTACAAATACAATGCAATACGGAGGGAATGTGGGTGATTCGACTTCTTGGATGTAACATGTTGAGTACTAACCGTAAATGTCTAGAACTGAAAAATAAAGCTGGCCCAAATATTTTCCATGGAAATAGTAGCGATAGTGTTGCGATGTTGCTTCTATGTGAAAGAGGCCGCAGAGTTGAAGATAAGTCATCCCTTATAAAAATACTACCCTAACTTTGGCGGAATATTTTCAAAATAATGAAGCCGTAGGGTGCCATCCCACCAGGCAGTACCTCTCCTTCGGAACGGGGCTGGCGTTATTACCTGACTCCCGAGGCGTCCCCAAAAGAGGAAGTGTCGAATGGGTTGTGCAATTTTTCCACGGTATTACCGTTAAAACCATTTTAAACCTCGACTTTGTGTCACATAGTGTAGCGACGTGGGCGCACTTTGAAATCTACTTACAAGACTTCGTAAACGATTTTGAAATCTACCAAGGCTTGAAACTGAAGATTAAGATGAAATTTCCTGATTCTGTCATTCACTAGTTAGAGAAATGTGTTTATATATACAAACCTCATTAAACCGTTAACAGGTTTTTTTTTTTAATTGTTTCAGTTTGGAACAATTTTATTTTTTTATTTCAAGTATACAATACGCCCACACCGAAAATACATTGTTATTCTTTTGGTGAATTTAATAAATTTAACGAAGAAAATCAAGCAGAAAATAACGCCTTACTAATTAACTCGAGATGTCTTTTCCACGTTTTCTAGATTGTTCAATACAACAAAAAGAAATAATTCGCAATTTCACGCGTAATACATCTTTCCAATTCGTAACACCAGGTTGAGTGGCAAATTTGTTGGTTTCTTTACACACAAAACGTCTAAAACCTGGAGAACTGCTTAAAGCTAAACGTGCAAAACAATATTTCTAATTAGTCGGTGAATTATTCGTTTTCCACAATTGCCGGACACTGAGAATAGAGTCGATTTCATCCTCTGAAGAAAAATTATCATCAATTCGTCCAACTGAGTCACGATCTATCTGAGAACCACTTCTGGCCTCTCCATTCCCAAACAAATCTTCCTTGATTAAACCTTCAGGCAAATCACGAAAGCCGTTTTCAATTTCTTCAGAGAAGAGTAGGTGGTTTATGTTGATGACAGTACTGACTTTAAAATGAAACTATTCTCACATGCCATAGCAATGGAATAGATTATAAAGTCCCGTGACCAAAAATGACCGTCCGATTTAAAGGTATTTTAACACGTGACCACCGAAGCTGAGACATTACACCCAATTTCGGAAAATTCCTTCGCAAGATTCCACTCAACATTATGCGACTTATTTGACGCAAGGAAATCCTCACCATTCTTGCTTCTCTGCTTGGACCCGCCCAACACGAAGATACCTGTGACGATTCGGTCTTGGCCTCCTTATGGTCAAACTTAACGTGGGATACGACAGGTCTGAGATCGAAGCGATCTTCATCGATCAGCCGCTGTGCTGGAAGTCTTGGACGACTGGGGAGGTGGTTGTACGATTACAAAGACGGCGACGACAAAACCAATTTCAAGACCATGTTAAAGCAAGGCAATCAATTAATAGAGAAAGGTATGTGAGTGCTTAATATGAAAGGCTTGAACAAATAAGACTGCAGTATAAAAACGTAAGAGTAAAGGAACTGATTAATTAAACCGTTCATTTTGCTTGGGAGCTAAATTTGTCTAGATGCAGATAAATATTTTATTTGTATTGATTATTAAAAAAGGGAAGTAATCATTCATAAATTTACTAATTTAATTTACCTCACTTGTCACCATAGTGGGAGACAGGAAAGATATAAATAGATATACATTGATAATTATTATATGGTCTGATATTCATATGTAAAATTAAGAATGAAATTACATTCAAATATTTCTTTTATTTTTAATATCACTGGGGTTTTTTCGCGAAAAGGAAAAGACATCGTCAATATCTGACATATATGATGTTTTTAGTTATTTCGTTTAATATTTGACTTTCTATGTGGAGCATATAAATCTTTAAAAAAAAGAAGGCGTCAAAGGGCTACCATAGTAACGCTGTCTGTCTGTGTACAAATGTTTCCGATGTGATCATAAAATGGAATTTGTGGAGTACATGCTAATAACAGTTTTTCTTTAATATAATGCATCTAATTTTGGAAGCGAGCGAGCCAGCCAGAGAGAAAAAGCGTGAGAAAGAGAGAAAGAGCGTGAGAAAGAAAGAAAGAGAGAAAGAGCGTGAGAAAGAGAGAAAAAGCGTGAGAAAGAGAGAAAGAGCAAGAGAAAGGGAGAAAGAAAGGGCGTGAGAAAAAGAGAGAAAGATACATGGTTATAAACATTATTTATGATGTCTTTTGTGTCGTTAACCATTTCTAAATAGGTTTTGTTGTTAGGCTTCTTAAATTTCAAGATTTCTAGCGATTCGTTTTGGGAATTAATGCTATATTTACAAGATGAATATAGTGAGTTTAATTGAGTGATTTTGAAATTTTCGAATACGAGAATTTAAACCCGTGACCTTATTTGATGTGGAGGGTAACCGATTTTATGAAAATTAAAATTATTGTAAACATCACCAACTTAATTATCATCAGTTATTCATTTTTTGGCAATAGAAATTTCTCAATATTTCTACATTGTTTTGACTTTGAGAGATAAAGTATCATTTGTTTTTAATTTGGTCGTACTCTAAATGCGTATTTATACTATTATAATTTCTGTTTTTAATAGATTTGCTTTTGGCAAATCGCGAAATCTTGGATGGGTTGTGGAGAGGCAACTGTTTTTTTTTTTTACTTTTAAGATGATTTTATGTAATATTTTGATTTGGTTTTTTTTATGATTATATAGGGTGTTTCATTAAGACGTCGAGAAAAATCACTCGAATAAATTAAACAAAAAGTAAATACTGTTTTTATATTAGTCCTTCGTACAATAATTGGTTATATCAGAGTTCGCATACAATTAATCATCAGCCCAAAACGGAAGTGATATTACTCTTGACTTGGTAAAGTTTGAGTTGCTGTTTTGGTAAAGTTCAGCACAAGGATGAAGTCGGGGTGTTCTCTTCGGCAGGCAATCACGTGGGATGTATCACGACCAGTGGCTGGGACGAACTCTCTTCCCTTCGTCCACTCTCTCATATTATTACCTCTCATTAAATCTCCTCGGTGAGCGTGGGTAGCTTATCCACCAGGTCCTGGTATTCCAATTCAACTTTCAACCAGAAGAAATTAACTCCAAATTCTTTGTTTATAAAAATGAAGTTTTCGCTTTACAGCTTGCATTTTCAGTTGCGTAGAACACATGTCAATCATCATTCCTCTCCAAGCCTGGGTCATTTTTCATTGTTCAAACCCTCGACACACCAATTCCAGGTGTCGTCTATATGTGAATTAAATCTTCAAACTTTCCCACGGATTTTAGATATTAACCTTTCTTGTTCTAAAGTCTTTCAGTATATCGCTCCTTCTATCCATAAGAAAACTTTCCTATGTTTTACCGCGGTAACAACAAATAGTATCAAATCTTTTGTCGTTTTGTTGCTAAACTTTTTCTTCCGAAAGTTATTTCCATTTTACACGCAAAACTTTTAACATGCAAAGATATTGAGCAAAAAGCGATTTATATAATACCAGAAGTAATCAATGTATCATAGATACCATTGCATTTATTTACAAGTGTGAACATGCTGAACAGGTCTGCTCAGCATGTTCACACTCCTCAGACAGCGCAGACTCCGTTGGTTGGGCCACGTCCACTGCATGCCAGACGGCCGCATCCCCAATGACCTCCTGTATGGAGAACTCGCCTCTGGAAGGAGACCCGCCGGGCGGCCACAGCTGCCTGGCAGCCATACGATCCAAATGGAGAGGGACCCTGACCAAACACCTCAAGTCGGGCGGTGGGGTGGGGAAGTAGCTGACACAAGTCGCCACGGAAAGGCGGTCCCGCAGAAAGCAGTGACAACGCCAACAGACCAGACACAGAACACACATGCGACCACTGCAACATAGATTGTCACTCCCGTATCGGCCTCTACAATCAGAAACGTCGATGCTCCAGCCAAGCAGACAAGTAGGATGCTACACATGGTCAAACCTGACCGACGGAAGCCTACGGTATTTACAAGTAATAATTACTTTCAAATAAACATAACACGAGTTTATTATTAACGTTGCTGCAGAAAATGCATGTCACTAGATACTTTATATGGATATGTAAATTATGGTATCCTAGATTCCACCAACTTTCACCTTCTAAATATATAATTAAATAACTGTTAAGAGATAAATTTAGTAATAATATTGTAGGTGTAATTAAAAGTTATGATATTATTTAAATATATCTAGGATATGCGTTAGTATCCAAGATTCAACACAATCTCTATGAATGTAGAATTAAATTTAAATAATCCTTTGTGCTTTTACATTGCTTTGTCCAATGAACATCTTAAAATGGGAAATTTCCTTGAAGAAAGAAGATTAGAAAGAGAGCGAAAACTAAGACATCGATTAGGCCTATCTTATGATCTGATACAGGCACGGTGAGATCTGATATGCAAAGATATTCACAGGCATCACAGGAACGCCGGGATGCAATAAGAGCACAAGCCAGGAGAGGCGGGGCGCATAGGTAAACTAATGAGAGAGAAAAGAGAGGAGGGCAGACATGCGAGAGAGAGAGAGAGAGCAGCAGCAGCACAAAAAAGAGGAAATAGAAGAAAGGAAGAACGCAAGAAGATCTGCTATGAGAGAACGCGTAGCTGAAAGGATTCAAAATGAAACAGAGGAAGAATCTAACGCAAGAAGAGAAAAATATGAGAATGCGAAATGGAAGAATGTCTTCGACGAGAAGCAGAAGTGCAACGCAACAGAAGCGGGAAGGAGGAATGAGAACAATGGCGCGAGGAGAAATGCAAGAAATACACAAAACAGCGTTGACAGAGTAAATAAACTTCTGTTCACTGAAGCCAAATATCAACAACAAAACTGTAGAGAATAAAAATAAACCGTCATTTTTTTACGGCACCGATACAACAGTTAATAAAATAGACCTTTAACATCACATCAAAAACAAAAATTAATCTGTAAACAAGATATATATATATATATATATATATATATATATATATATATACATATAGATAGATAGATAGATAGATAGATAGATAGATAGATAGATAGATATGAAAGGACAGTCAACCTAACACGAATAAAAAAGCACATGAATTAAAAATAACAAAAATGAGATACTAGGTACTGAATTAAGAGATGGATTCATGCCTTTTCCAAGGGTATTTGTATGAAAGTGAATTTTAGGTAGTCTTAAATGTTTATAAAAATACGTTATTCATATATATATATATATACATATATATATATATATATATATATATTATAAATAAACTGATCTAAAAATATGGTTCCATCGCTACACAGGAATTACCATGTTTCAAAAACAGAAACTAAAAACTTCAAATTCAATTATATAATTAAATTAAAGTCCCTAGTTCTCTTTTATTTTCAAGCGCTTAACCAAAAAGCGAACATTTAATAATTTAATTATATAATTGAATTTGAAGTTTTTAGTTTCTGTGTTTGAAACGTGGTAATTCCTGCGTAACGATGGAACCATATTTTTTAAATCAGTTAATTTATAATATTTATGCCTTGTAACTTTGTAAAAATAAAAATATTAATAAGAACACCGGATTATATATCTTACTGTTCTTTCTTCTATTTAAAATATATATATATATATATATATATATATATATATATATATATATACACTACAGATCAAAAGTTTGAGGCCATCCCTGTTAATTTTTTAAATAGACCCAGATAGTAGTTGTATTGTGGTTTAAATAAGAGATAATTATTATACGTGGTTAAAAAGTGAGACACTGATTTTTTATTTGAAATTTTATTATGGAAAAAAAATCTCTTGATAAAATTTTGCTCTCGTAAAATATCCTCCTTCAACCTTGATTGATGCATCACAAACTTTTGGCATTCGTTGCAAAAGCTTCTTAAAGTATAAGTTTGATAATTGATTCCATTTCATTTTTCAATGACCCTAAGAGCTCTTTTTCATTTTTATTTTCCACCCTGTCAAGTTCATCACATGCTAATTGTTTTTTTTTTTTTTTGGTGGAGGGCGGCGTCAGACTTTTGAACTGTATATATATATATATATATATATATATATATATATATATATATATATATATATATATATATATATATTTGATAATAAAAAGTTTATGTGGGTTCAACCCAAGGACCATTTAAAAAACGATATTATAACCATAGAAGTAGTTTCACACAAGAGAAACAGGCATAGGACTAGTCTATCTAAACATTCGTGGAAAATTAAAAAGGACCAAGACGTAAATCCTATATTAAAATGGGAGATAATAAAAAAAATATGCCGCAAATATAAGGCTAGCAATAGGTATTGCCTATGTATGTAGAAAAAAATTAGGTATAGCTACTTATAATACCACCAATATGGTACTCACTTAGAGATCGAAAATACTTAATGTTTGTAGGCACAAAAAAACCTGGTTACTTCAATAATGTGATTTTATTTTCTCGAGTGGCCGTTTTACCAATAAAATATCATTTGGCTTACCCTCCTTTGTTTTTCATTGTCTTGTTTTTCTTTTGATGCTATTTTTTTAATTCTTTCTGGTAGCCTCGAGTGACCCTTATCGACCCTCTTACGTACCTCTGTAGGAGCTGCAACAAATCTTTTAATAGTTTGGTGATATCTTCCAAATATTTTGGATATTCTTTATGTAGATTTGCCTTTGGAAAGTTCAGATATTATTTCTCAGAAGAGGTCAAGTCACATTTGCGACCCATTATTCTACGATTGTAATAACACTCGTCCATATTCTGGAACACTTCTATATCGTGTTAATATTGCAAATGGCCACCGTTGGTTTCCTGTTGCGCAGAACAATGCAGTTTTTATACAGCCTGCGCATATCCCTATTCCCATTATACTGTGAAAATTTGGTTAAATTTTGATTGGTAGTTTATGGACAAAATGTAACCTCGTTAATAATTTGAAATGCAATATATATATATATATATATATATATATATATATATATATATATATATATATTTTTTATATTTTTTATATTTTTTTCAGGAGGTGTGAAAAAAAAACAGATAATACAATTTGTAATTAAAAATTTTGATATCATGAGAAAAAAATATGCTACTTATAATTTGGCCTCACTCAGACATCCTTAATGGTTGTAAACACAAAAAAGCCTGGTTACTTCAATAATGTGATAGTTGTTTTTTGTTTTTTTTTTTGTCTTCGGGTGGCCGTTTTAGCAATAAAATATGTTTGGCCTACCCACCCCTTTTGTTTTTCTTTGTCTTGTCTTTGTTTTGATGCTAAGTTTTTATTCTCTCTGGTGGCCGTTTTTTCAATAAAATATCGTTTGTGTCAACCCTGTTTAGCCAGATTTATCCTTATGATCCGTTAGGTGAAACCTAGGTGGGTCGGTTCTAGCCCATTAGGTTTTATTTATATATATATATATATATATATATATATATATATATATATATATGAGTTGCGATAACTCCTTGGTTAGATGTATCATAAGGGTGGCAGCTGACGTTGAAGTAAATCAGAATTTGAAATTTTGACTTTCAAACAGAGAAGGTACACATTAAATGACGAAAGATTTACTCACTATATCTATTTGCAGATAGATAAATATCAATAAACTAAAGTAGATAGATAGATAGATAGAGAGAGAGAGAGGGGGGGATACGGGAATGAATAAACTCAAGAAGAAAATGTATTTAATTAATACAACAAATATAGATTTTTCAACATAATGTCTTCCTTTTTCCAATGCACTCTAGATGCCTTGAAAATTCTATAATAATAATGCAGACAAAGTCACCTCATAATGGTATCAAGCTGCAGACTTATTGATCTACCATAAATAGATAGCTAGGTAGATAGATATGAAAAGAGTAACGTATCATGATAGATAGATAGATAGATAGATAGATAGATAGATAGATAGATAGATAGATGTTATTTAAGCGAAGGTGTCTTATTCTGGCTCACAATCAGTCTGTCTATTTTGGGAAATAGCGTGGGTGAGTCTTTAGTTCTTGAGACATTTATGCATCACATTATTTCTCCCTCACATTGTCTTCACTAAAAATATAAATGATGTGAAAATTACACCCAGTTCTGCCGATAAATTACAATGGTGACGTCTTGTTGTTTTCTTGAACATTATACCCTTCATCTCAAACAACAGTCTTTTGTTTATACACTTTGAAAGTTACGTATATTTCTAGATTATAACGAACTGAATCACTTGTCAATAGCGTTCAGGGGAACTGAAGTAAGATTTTTCACTATCGATTGAATTAAATTTCTTCAATTCGTTCCTTAACTATCGACAATAAAACATTAGATTTAATGGTATTTTTTTTACAACTATTTACTTTTATCTTAATTTTTTAGTTGATTTTTATTATGAGTTGGGAAGCAACTAAAACCAGGAAGAAAAACAAAAATTACAGAGATATGAATGTATAAATATAGTATGCAATATAAAAAATATATTATATTTCCCTGTTTTCGCAATTTAACGCTTCAAATGCTCACCTGTTTTTTTTTCTGGGCTCTCATACAATCGTCAGATAGTAGGAAAAGGACAGGCATATTCTTAAATGCCTATAGTTGATAACAGAAGCCATTGGTTTATACCAACGGCTTCCCATACATAATACTTCTCGTTTTCACTCTCACGTGGTCATGTGTGACGTCACGAGCTGCGGTGCGATTTTCGCTTCCGCGTCTCGTATACACGAGTTTGTCGTTGCTTGGAAATCCTTTATGCAACAAAAACAGACTATCATTATTGTTTTGTCCGTGTATTGTTTAATATATTGAAATGTAATTGTCATCTCTGATAATGGCTTATGTAAGCCGAAAGCTTAGATAGGATTAAAAAAAAATGTATCAATATGGTGTTTTTCTTTCATCTTTCAATCTTAATGTTATTAAGCTTATCAGACAATCTGAAAGGAATTTACTTAAAATAAATAAACAAAACTTGTCTATATTATTTAATGAAACATGCATCAATATATATATATATATATATATATATATATATATATCATAAAGAAGTAATTATACATAGAATTAATCAGCAATATCAATGTAATTAATGGCGAAATCTCTTCGCTAACAAGATTAATAAGGCATTAACTTACTAACAATTCATTGAATAACGCGATCCCGAAGTTGTTGTTAGATAGATTTGATGTTGCAAGGTCGAATATTTTCGAAAATTTCACATTTTCATCCTCAGGACGTAATTTTTCCATTACAGATAAACGAAATAAATGTAGAGTATACCAAAAGATATTTTTTTTAAATATGCTATTTATTGGTAGTTATATAAATTTGGAAATGTGAAATTTTCGAAAATATTCGGCCTAACAACATCTAATATATCTGATAATTTAAACATAAGGATCCCGTTATTCAATTAATTATTAGTAAGCTAATGCCTTATTACGTCTTGTTAGCGAAGATATTTCGCCATTAATTACATTAATATTGCTAATTAATTCTATGTATAATTATCTCTTTATGATATATATATATATATATATATACATAAGCACATATAAAAATTACTATACACATTTTTTCCTTCTGCATTGTTTCGCAACTCACAATCTGTAAATAATTCTGCCGGACGCAACTAAGAAATTAGCCACCTCAGAAATGAAAGGAACCTGAAAAGTGGATTACCATAAAATTAAACAGTCCAGAAACAGCATTAATAGTTATGAATAAAAACAAAACAATAAAAAGGTCCCAATGAACCCAAAGTGTCTTTTCTTTTTTTCTCCTTTAGTTAGTCGGTCAGTGATTGAGCTCAAAAGATCAGAGAGGATATCCGAGTTTTAGCATAGGGAGATGGACGGCACTAAAGTTGTATATCCATTTTCAAGACGGTAAATATAATTAACACCATGTGCACTTATATATTCAGGCCCGACCTACATATATCTTTATTCCTTTTCACAGACGTCTTTTTGTGCTTTGATTTTTTTTTTGGGGGGGGTCTCTTTTTTTTTTCTTTCTTTTGGTTTTTTTCGTTATTGCCAACCACCTACTTCAGGTTCTAACAGCAGCTGTAATGTGGCGCCGGGAGTGATCAGTATGCATATCAAACACATGAAAGCAAAACAAAGCTTCCCAGACCACCGGGACTTCTACCACGTACTACGATTACATCAGAAGTCCAAGCTATTGGGTATCGAATTAAGACCTTATTAGCTCGATTTGACACAAATGTAAAGGTGAAACTTCTGAATAAAAACACAAATGGCAAGACTGCTACAATCTATGGTAAGAACAAATCTATGCGTCATATAACTTATACTTGTATATTTCTTGTATTCTATCTTTTATTAAATTCTTAGTGTACCTCGTCTTTGAATTAGACTTTGTAATTATGTGTCATTCTTTTTTCAATCGATTTTTTAAATCCGACTTTATTTCTTATTGGTATAAAAGGTATTTTCAATGGGCACATGTGTTTGAGATCACAACACTGTTATTATTAAATAGCGAAATTGACACCAATCTAAACTAGAAATCGAGGAGTCCTTACTAACGAAAAAATATGCCTCAAGCACGCGTACCCCTTAAAAAAATACTGTTTATAGTTAAGAAATAACTAATCTTGATCTCAGTCATTTTATCACCGACATGACGAGGCTTCCCTAGATTTTTTCTACAAATATTTTCATTCCTACTGTTCAGGTGATTTTTTTTTTTTTTTTTTTTTCTTTTGCTTAATGCTTTGACTGCATGAATTTAAGCGTGCTACTAGACTAGCAACTGGGCCTCACCATTTTACTGTTAAACGAGCTAGATGCAATCGTCTCTTCTATTCTAAAAGTTTCTTTTCAAGCACTTCTCGCCTGTGAGACTCCCTTTCGATTTCTTGCTTTCCTGTCAACTACGATCTTCAAAAATTTAAATGCAATGTCAATCGACATCTACCTTCCCGGATGCTATTTCTTTATTCTCCTCCCCCCTCAATTATTTTCACGAAAATCTTCTCATTCTAAACAACTAAAACCAGGAAGAAAGAGATGCTCAATATTCAGGAATTAAAACAAAAATTACAGAGATAATATGAATGTATAAATATAGTATGCAATATAAAAAATATATTATATTTCCCGGTTTCGGCAACATAACGTTTCAAGTGTTCACCCGCTTTTTTTTTTCTGGACTGTCATACAATCGTCAGGTAGTAGGAAAAGGACAGGTATATTCTTAAATGCCTATAGTTGATAACAGTAGCCATTGGTTTATACCAATGGCTTTCCATACGTAATACTTCTCGTTTTCTCTCTCATTCTCTTATACTCTTTCACTCCCTGTAATCCGCTGCATCTTAGTGGTGTTATCACCTTACTTGGGGTGAATTGATTAAAGAAAAAGAAAACAAACACACACACGCACGCACACACACACACATACACACACACACGCATATATATATATATATATATATATATATGGGATAACGTTATATATTTTTTATATATCAAGAACACTATTGGGGAAATTGTATGGCGAAGTGAAAAAAAAGTTTACATGTGATGCGTTTCGTCCTTCAGGTTAAATTTGTTACATTGGTAGGACTACACATGCGCACGACAGAGGACTGCTGGGAATTTTATAAGTTTTTATTATTATTATTATTATTTTATCTAGCGGAATTCATATAGAGTAATTCTCTTTTTCTTTCAAAAAGAAAAAAAAAGAAATTCTTAATGATTACGGTTTGATAAAAACCAAAGATCTTAAATTCCCAGGAGACCTCCGTCGCGCGCCTCTGTAGTCCTACCAACATAACAAATTAAGTCCGATGAAATCTTAAAAGACGAAACGCGTAACAAGTAAACTTTTCCACTTTGTCATATATATATATATATATATATATATATATATATATATATATATATATTTCTGGGATGAGGTATTATGTACACTATTTAGATTATTTGGACTATTGTCCTCATCTTTGTCACCATATTTATGGCAACGTTTCGGCCGTTGTACGCTCCGGCCTTCTTCAGATGGTTGGAATGTCGAACTGAACCATTTATTTCGCTCACTGGGGTAGAGTGTTCTAGTTCCACGTGCCATGTTTAAAGAATGTCAGTTACTCCTGTTAATTTCCCTCAAGGACACACGGCACAGTGGATAAAGGTGTTGGTTAGATCCAGTTACAGGACCCAAAGAGTGTGAGTTCAATACCCGGTTAAGGACAGTGGAGAACTAACTGGAGATAACTGATAATTGGTATCCATATCAATATCCGTGATAAAGTTAACACATGCGGTTGTATGGATAGTTGTTTGTAACTCCGAGTTTCACGCCTGTGAGATCTTCATTGTGTATTGAAGCCGTTAATGTTGTCGGATTTTAAATCATCCCACTCCGAGTAGACTTCTTTTTTCTCTCTCTTCCTCTTCTCCCATCTCTCTCTTCTCTCTCTTTCTCTCTTCTCTCTCTCTCTCTATCTTTCTCTCTCTCCCTCTCTCTCTCTCTCTCTTAGTTCGTAAATCGCATTGTGCTACTATTGCCTTTGCGATGATCAGTGATATGATGTCTGAGCTTTGTCTGCACTTTCAACGCATTTTCTTCTCAGTAAATCCTTTTCTCTTCTGATCAAACTGGCATTTATCATGTCAAAAATGTGGTTTGGGTACGTTACGCTGAACTAGGGTACGATGAAGGTGTTGTTATGCAGTATAACCCTGTGATGCTCATATCGTCAATTTTTTTTTTAGATTTCTAGATGCTTTGCCGATGTACTTTTGTTCTAGATCTTATTAATACATATATGTCTGTAGCTTTATTCCTTTGTCTGTATATTTATAACCCTACTAAATCTCATTACTCGTCATGAAAGTGTCCTAGCTTCGTTTCTTTTTCTTTTTTTTCCATCGGCATTCAACTGTTGACATAAAAATGTTACAAGCATTAACCGCAGG